TGGGTAACCGAAACCACGGAAAGTGAGACCCAGAATAAGTGGGGGCTGCTGTAGAATACTTTGAGACACTGTCAAGCTATTTTTCAAAGTAGTTTCACCATTTCACATTCTCCAAAGCAGCGTATGAGGGTTCCAATTTTTCTATATCCTCACTACCGCGTCTCCATTTTTTATTGTAGCCATCTTAAGTGGATAAGAAATTTCTCATTGTGATTCTCATTTGCATTTTATTAATGACTTACGATGTTGAGCATTTTTTCATGTACTTATTGAACGTTTCTTTATCTTCTTTGGAGAAACATCTGTTCAAATATTTTGCCCATTTTTTAAAAAGTAACTTATTTGTCTTTTTATTTGTATTGATTTGTAAGAGTTTTTTTAAATATATTTTGGAAACTAAGCTCTTATCAGATATATGAATTGCAAATATTTACTCCTAATCTGTGGGTTGTCCTTTCATGTTCTTGACAATATCTTTTGAAGCACAAAGTTTTCATTTGGATGAAGTGAAATTTACCTATTGTTTCTTTTTTTATTGTTTAAAGTATTACATATGTCTCCTTTTTTTCCAATTGACCCTCCCCCCCCTGCCACACCCTCCCCTAGGACAAGCCCTCACCACCCCAGTGTCTGTGTCCATTGGTTATGCTAATATCCATGCATACAAGTCCTTTGGTTGATCTCTTACACCCCCCAAACCCACCTTCTCTCTGAGGTAGGACTGTCCATTCAGTGTTTCTTAGTCTGTGGATCTATTTTTGTTCATCAGTTTATGTTGTTCATATATCCCACATATGAGTAAGATCATGTGATATTTATCTTTCTCCAACTGGCTTATTTCATTTACCATAATGCTTTCCAGGTCCATCCATGTTGTTGCAAATGGTAAAAGTTCTTTATTTTTTATAGCAGCATAGTATTCCACTGTGTAGATGTACCACAGTTTTCTAATCCACTCCTCCGCTGATGGACACTTAGGCTGTTTCCAAATCTTAGCTATGGTGAATTGTGCTGCTATGAACATAGGGGTGCCTATATCCTTTCTGATTGGTGTTTCTGGTTTCTTGGGATATATTCCTAGAAGTGGGATCACTGGGTCAAATGGGAGTTCCATTTTTAATTTTTTGAGGAAACCTCATACTGTTTTCTACAGTGGCTGCACCAGTTTGCATTCCCACCAGCAGTGCACGAGGGTTCCTTTTTCTCCACATCCTCTCCAGCACTTGCCCTTTGTTGATTTGTTGATGATAGCCAGTCTGACAGGTGTGAGATGGTATCGCATTGTCGTTTTGATTTGCATCTCTTGGATAATTAGTGATTTTGAGCATGTTTTCATATGTCTCTTGGCCTTCTGTATGTCCTCTTTCGAAAAGTGTCTATTTAAGTCCTTTGCCCATTTTTTGATTGGATTGTTTATCTTCCTTTTGTTAAATTGTATGAGTTCCCTTTAAATTTTGGAGATTAAGCCCTTATCAGAGATAACATTGGCAAATGTGTTCTCCCATGCAGTGGGCTTTCTTGTTATTTTCTTGATGGTTTCTTTTGCTGTGCAGAAACTTTTCATTTTTATGTAGTCCCATTTGTTTATTTTCTCCTTAGTCTCCATTGCCCTAGGACAGGGGTAGGCAACCTTTTTGTGAGTGCGTGCCAAAACCAGCAAAATCTCTAACTCAAAATTCTTCTGCGTGCCAACCCTAATTTTTTGAGAACATGTTACGCCTACTTGATATCTCTTAAGGTGTACATATATGAAGAACCTTGAAGAAAATAATAAAATTCATTCGAGTGACAAAAACACAGTATATGATGAAAAATACATTTATTTTTTAATGTATACATGTACACTGATAGTCCAACAGAAAACTTGATGACTCCGTTTGATATTATCAGTGGGGCTTTTGCTGCTGCATCACTGATGACAGAGATTTTATATCAGGTTTATATTTCATGACCTTCAGAGATATGCACGAGCTACTACTCTCATCCGTCAGGCTACTCCTATTACGAGACTTAACAAAATTCATCACTGAGAACAAGATTCACAAGCGTATGTGGATGAAACCAAAACACTGGTCGGATCTAGAAAAGCAGGGAGAGTTAAGGCAGAGGCATAGAAATTGCTCTTCCCCTCTCTCGTCAATCCATGTCTATGGTCTTTAAGATAAGTTGTTATGTAAAATTATTTATTTATCTAAGATGCACCTACACTGAATTTATCTGAAAAATAAAAAAGTCGATGTTAAGAAAAAAATTGTAAATGGAAGATTATAAGAGAGGGTTTCGCATGCCAGCAAAAGTTACTGGCGTGCCATGTTTGGCACGTGTGCCAAGGGTTGCCCACCCTTGCCCTAGGAGCTATATTGGTAAACATATTGCTACAATATATGTCTGATACTTTGCTGCCTATGGAGTCTTCTAAAATTTTTATGGTTTCCCATCTTACATTTAAGTCCTTTAACCATTTTGAGTTTATTTTTGTGTATGGTGTAAGTTAATGATCTAGTTTCATTTTTTTTTTTTTGCATGTATCTGACCAATTTTCCCAGCACCATTTATTGAAGAGACTGTCTTGACACCTACCTATTGTTTCTTTTGTTGCATTTGCTTTAGGTATTATATCCCTGAAAACATCTAATCTAAAGTCACAAAGAGTTATGCCCAGGTTTTCTTCTGAGTTGTATGGTTTTAGCTTTTATTTAGGTCTCTGATCCATTTTGAGTAAATTTCTTCATATGTTTCTTTTCTATGTCTAGATGCTCAAATACTTACCATTGGGGCATAAGTGCCTATACCAGGGGTGGGCAAACTTTTTGACTCGAGGGCCACACTGGGTTCTTAAACTGGACCGGAGGGCCGGAACAAAAGCATGGATGGAGTGTTTGTGTGAACTAATATAAATTCAAAGTAAACATCATTACATAAAAGGGTACGGTCTTTTTTTTTTTTTTTTAGTTTTATTCATTTCAAACGGGCCGGATCCGGCCCGCGGGCCGTAGTTTGCCCACGGCTGGCCTATACTATTCAGTACAGTAACGTGCTGTATAGGTTTGCAGCCTAGGAGTAATAGACTATACCATATGGCCTGGGTGTGTAGAAGGCTATACCATCTAGGTTTGTGTAAGTGAAATCTATGATGTTCACACAATGATAAAATTGGCTAATGACATTGCTCAGAACATATCCCCACTATTGAGCAATGCATATGTATATAACTCTTTGCTCTGGGACTTGGTTAGGCTATTTTAATTAAGTCTATTTCCCTGTGGTGTTGCTCCTGGAGCCTTTGGGCTCACGTTGACTATCTATTTCCCTGATCTGTCTACTAGGCTGTCAGTCTCAACTGCTATTATGCTCTAGGCCAGTGGTTCTCAACCTTCTGGCCCTTTAAATACAGTTCCTCATGTTGTGACCCAACCATAAAATTATTTTCATTGCTACTTCGTAACTGTAATGTTGCTACTGTTATGAATCGTCATGTAAATATCTGATATGCAGGGTTGTCTTAGGCGACCCCTGTGAAAGGGTCGTTCGACTGCCAAAGGGGTCGCGACCCACAGGTTGAGAACCACTGCTTTAGGCTCTACTACTTACTAACTGATTGCCCTATTTTTGTTTTCATATTTGCCAGCTTTGCTTGTTTCACTGGGGGAGTAGGTACATGGAGCTCCTAATGATGGAAGTGAAAGTCTCATAATTTATTTTTGTGCATTGACCTTGTATCCTGCAACCATGCTGAATTCACTTCCTAGTTCTAAGGTATTTTATAGTTTGGAGGAATTTCTATGTATATAATCATGACATCTACATATATGGAATATTTTATTGATTCTTTTTCAAATCATATGCCCTTTATTTCCTTTTACTGCTTCATTGCACTGGTTAGAATTTTCAGTACTATGTCAAAAGAGTGTAGCGTGGACATCCTTACATTGTTTCTAATCTTATGGGAAAAGCGTTCAGGCTTTCACTTTCAAGGGTAACAACAATGGTAGGTTTTTGTTGTAGAGGTCCCTTATCAAGTTTAAGTAATTCACCTCTATTCTTAACTTGCCGTACATTTTATCATTAATGGGTGTTTAATTTATGAAGTGGTTTTCTTCATGAATTGATATATTTTTCTTCTTTAGTTTGTTAATATCATGGATTATGTTGATTGACTTTTTTGAACATTCATCTAATCTTACATACCTAGACAGAATTCCACTATGATTCTTTTTATGTGATGTTGGATTCTATTTTACAATATTTTCATGAGGATTTTTTTTGCATTTTAGTTTATGAGAGATACTGGACTCTAGGGATTTTTTTATTTTTATTTTTTGGCATTCTATTAGTCTTGTTTTGGTATATCTGGTACCTCTGATTACCAGAGGCCAGGGTTACTCTGGCTTCATAAAAGTAGTTGGGAATGCTCCCTCCTTTTCTTGTGCTCTCAAGCTACAGTTTTATTGTCTTTTCCCCATGATGATTAGGGCTTTTTTCTGCCATAGGGTATGTAGAGAGAATGGTCTGGGGAAAATTTTCAGCAATAGTTGCTGTTTTGTTTCCCTTCCCAAGCCAGAATACAATGTTTTTCTCAGGATTCATCTCAGTCTTCCCTGTCAGCACTTGGTGGAATTACTAAAGGAAAAGTCTACAAGAGGATGCAAAACCACCTATGTCTACAGCCCCCAGGGTCTTCACATCTTACACTAGCCCACAGCTAACATTTAGCAATTCCTTAACCATGTTTAGCTGAATTTCTTATGAGTTTATATTTTGTTCAGTAGTATCTATGAAAGATAAACAATGATCTGGATACTGTCTCTGAAGAAGCTTGTCTCTCCAGATCTTAGGTTAGATGTTTGCACCACAATCTCAGTTTTTTGATTAAGTCAAGAGAAGTCAATTTGCAATTTCCAGGGATTTTTATATAGTTATAAAATTCTGCATCCCTGAGTTGATACTAGAAGATCATATGAACCTAGAGACAAGTTTTTGAGGGTCTGTTTATCTTCCAGCAACCATACCCCAGTTTACCAATTCCCCCACAATGGTGATTATGGTGGGTTTACCAGCTCGAGGAAAGACTTACATCTCTACGAAGCTCACCCGGTATCTGAACTGGATAGGAACACCAACTAAAGGTAAGTCTCTGAAACCTTTTGTTATACAGCCCCCTACAGGCTACTGGCTGAAAACAGACTAAGGTAGTATGCCTCAGTACCAGGAAAGTCTCAGTTATTAATAGTATGTGGACTATTACTGCTACTATTACTGCTATTACTACTACTACTACCACTATACTGTTATAAAATTTAAAATTTCTTGACTACTCCAGGCTAGGCGCTAGACAGGAAAACTAGTAAGATTAAATATCTTTCCTCAAGGAGGTCCATTTTTGCAAGACCGTGCACCTCTGAGTTCCCCACAAACCCTTACCACAGCCCCCTGTATGCCAACACTAATTGCATAGTGTGTTGTTGTAGCATGTGCCTGGGTCTCTCTCCCCTGGACCTGCTCTGGGGGGCAAGGGACTAGATCATATTTAATTCTGTCTCTCAAGTATGATAAGACTAAAACTAAATACCAAAAGTTAGGGTGCCCCCACATCATACGCAATTCAGAATACAAGCAGTAAACATAAGGAAGTCTACCAAAGGTTATTTATTCCCTGATGACTATGCTGATGCTTTTAAAGAATATCAACATAGCTGAACATTTTTATTGGGCCATGTTCCTCCTTTACGTGTGCACTAGGCAAGTAGTTAGACTTCTCTAGTGAAATGGAGCACACTACTCTCCAGTGCAGAAAACAGTTCTCGGAGGCATTCATGTATTCACTCAAGCATTAATTATTTGTTTGGATGTTGGGCAAACAAATAAAGTCAGGATGTCTGTCCTCACAGAACTCACAGTTCTAAAACACCCAGGAAGGAGGAACTGTTATCATCATTTCACAGTTGATAAAATTAATGCCTGGGAGGTGAAGTGTCTTGTCTAAGGGCACATGGCCAATAAGTGACAGAACCAGGATATGAACCCACATTTACGTGATTCCAAAGCCTGACACTCACTGTACCAGGGCTCGTCCTTGGCTCTACTGATGGGAAGAGAAAAGAATCCCACATTGGCCCTGTACCCTCCCTTCCTCCACTATTTTTCTCTCCTTTCTCTTGCTCATCCCAACACCCTTATTTATCTGCCCCATTCCCAACCCTCCCCCCCTCCCACCACCGAGTCTCCTCCTCTCTTCCTCCCATTTCTTCTTTCCCTTCATGCGCTTTCTCTAATTCACTAGTGAAGAGTTTCCCAATGCTTTTCCATGTGCCAAACTGATGCTAGGCATTGGAGATGCAAAAATGGATGTGATTCACACCCTGTCCTTGAAGAGTTCTCCATCTGGTTGTGATGCATAAGAGTACTTCATGTCACCTAGGAATCCCAGATCATGGTATTGAGGGGGCTCACAGAGGAAATTACCAACAGGAAGGCAGTGAAAGCTTCCAGATAGGTTATATTTGGGCTGAGTCCTGTAGGACAAATAGGACATTCGCAGAACAGAGGACAGAAGGAACAGTTCTCCTGGAGACCTGCAGGCTCACAGGAGTCTCTCCTGAGTGTAGGAGGCACATAACACAGTGGTGGATGGCTCGTAACTCCAAGCTCCTTAGCCTGTTGTTCAAGGACTTCTACAATCAGCCCCTACAAGTCTCTCAGGCCTCAGTCGCAGTGGATGACTCACCATCCCCCAAACATGCTCTGCCTTCTGCCAATGCCCTACCTTTGCTCAAGCTGTTCCTCTACCTGGAATTGACTTTGTCCCCCCCCATCTCCCATGTTGGCCCGTAAAAGGCCTGCCCCCCGAAAGGATTAATTAAAATGCTGCTTTCTCCAAGAAGCCTCAGATCACCCAAAGTTAATTAGTCTTTCCTTTCCCCTTACTTTTTTGCATGGCTCTGTCAGAGCACTTGACAAACTAGATGGGAGCTCTGTTTACTGATTTGTTCTCTGTCCTGTCTGCTGGATTCTGAGGACTTAGAGAGCCTCATCGCACAAATATGGTTCATCTCTGAGACCCCAGAAGTCATGTCCTTCTTCACAGAGTGGGCGTCAGAAAAAAATTTATTAGTTGAATGCATGAAAGGTTACTTTACCTTATTGCCTATACCCCCTTTCCTTTCCTTCCCTCTGCTCTGTTTTTTTACCATTACAAATGAGAAATATGGCCATAGAGAGGGCTTAAATTTAGTTTCTCTGTCAGGATACAGAAAGATGTAATAACATTGGACTACGATTCAGAAAGCCCAAACTAGTTCTGACTCACTGTTTGACTCTTGGTGATTGATTTTACTCACTGAACCTCAGTTTCTTTATCTTTCCAATGGAGTAGAGCATGAAAAGGGTTGGAGTTTATGATAAACTAAAATTGTGGAAAGACCACCAGCTTTGGAATCAAGCAGCTCTGAGTTTAAATTCCAGTTCCCCACTAATTAACTATGAAAGTTACTTATCATCTCTGAACTTCAATTTCCTCATTTGTAAAATGGAAATGGTGATTCCCACTTTGCAGGATTGTTGTGAACAATAAATCTGGTAGACAAAATTTAAAGCTTTATAAGCATATTATATAGCTACAAATTATACCTTCTTCTACCCCTAAATTCCCTCCCAACAAGGACATGTTTTTGCTACTGAGATCTTCCCAAACTCTTCACCAGTGTTCCCTGCTTTCAGTGTTTAATTTAGGCCAGTATCGACGAGAGGCAGTTAGCTACAAGAACTACGAATTCTTTCTTCCAGACAACATGGAGGCCCTACTTATCAGGAAGTAAGTATCTAACATTTTAGGGACCTGCGCTGCTCCCTGGCTGAGGGAGGGCTTTGTTCAGGTGATGGGGGACTAGGGCAGAGCCACTAGGGTTAGCAAGGAGGCCCTCTAGACTCTCAAAGGGTGGTTTGGACAGCCCATCTACCATACTACCTACAACCTGTTTCTGGTCATAGCTGTCCCCTGCTTAAAAACTTTAAACAGTCTCCTACTTCTGACAGGAAAGAATGGAAACTTTTCAGGCTAATATTTGAGACAAGAGTCTCAATAGCTTAGCATATTCCAATCTCTCCAATCACATCCATTCAACCTCAAGGTCTCTCTCCTCTACAAGACTGAGCACTTATAGAAAAAAGCCTGTGTCTCACTTATTGATCCATGCCTTCATAATAGAACATTGAAAAGAGTAATCATTAAATAGATTTTTACCAAAACCATCAATACATTGCCAATGCCATACATGTGCTTGCACTGGTATCCATATCAGGAATGCCTTCTCCTTCACAGACCATACACTTAGCCTCTAACTGGGTTCAAGAAGCAGTTCAGCTTGAGCTCTATTAACTCAAGGGATGGAGCCTTTAATAGTATGGCTTCTGTCATTAAGTTTTTTCTGGGCATGCCACTTTATACCTGCCCCTAAGATGTCCACACGGAACCACTTTCCCCTGTGTGACATCTCTGTGCTTGTCATGGTGCCTAGAAGATAGGACACCTTGTGTAGATGTTTAATAGGTGAATAATTTAATCTAGGACATCTGAGAGATGGTGCAAAAGATACTGCAGAAAAATGGAGAGGAACCAATCTTGAGGATGGGTCTTGTTTGTTTCTTTCTCCTTTTACAGGCGGTGTGCTCTGGCAGCCCTGAAGGATGTTCATGATTATCTCAGCCGTGAGGAGGGCCATGTTGCGGTAAAAAAATTTGTATTGTTCCCTAGGGTTTCTGCTGGGATGGAGAACAGATTATATATGTATTGAGCATTCACTGTGTTCCACACGTTATTCTAGGTACTTTGAGATAGATATTATACCCCATTTTATATCCCAGAAGAATGACACACAGATTAAATAATTTCCAGAAATGGCATGGTATGTATGTGGCAGGACAGAACTGTAATCCAGGTTGTGTCGCTCCTGAATCTACAGTTAACTACTATACCTCCCACACCACTCCCAGGAATTTAGCAGCACTACACTACAATTTAAACTACAGTAAAACATTTTTGAGTTCTGAGATTTCCTAAACATTTTAGTCAGTTTAATCTCAGGCTTTTTAAAAAATATATATTTTATTGATTTTCTTACAGAGAGGAAGGGAGAGGGATAGAGAGCTAGAAACATCGATGAGAGAGAAACATCGATCAGCTGCCTCTTGCACACCCCCCACTGGGGATGTGCCCGCAACCAAGGTACATGCCCTTGAACGGAATCGAACCTGGGACCCTTCAGTCCACAGGCCGATGCTTTATCCACTGAGCCAAACCGGTTAGGGCTAATCTAGGCTTTTGAGATAGGATTTGCAAATTCTAAAAGGGGAAAAGATCCTCAAAAATGCAAACTGTCCCATTTAAGGTGCTGGAACTAGAGAGTTGTTTCCTGTTCTTAAAGCGCTCCAGGGTGATAAGGAAGGAAGAAGCCTCACCTAGGAGATGAGAAATCAGTTCTGACTCTGCTCTGTCAGCAACTCTCGGTGACCTTGGTTAAGGCAAATCCTTCCTCAAAGGCTCAGCTACTTCACCTGTATAATGACCCTAATAAAACCCCACACTTTTTGCTTGGCCAGCATGGCTCAGTGGTTGAGCATCGACCTGTGAGCCAGAAGGTCATGGTTCAATTCCTGGTCAGGGCACATGCCCACATTGCAGGAGGCTGCCGGTCAATGGTTCTCTCTCACCATTGATGTTTCTGTGTCTCTCTCCCTCTCACTGCCTCTCTGAAATTGGCAAAAATATATATTTTTTAAAACCCCACAATTTTTTTCTTGTCTTATTAGACTTACAAAGCCTGCTACATTTCGAGAGAGACATTAGGACTCAATAAGTACTGGAGAAATGACACAAGCCAATTCCAAATCTTTCCTATTGTTCGTCACCCCGTCCAAGTTCTATCTCCTCCTGGTAGCACTCCACTTGGCTAAACACAGGGATGCTCAAAGAGTAGGTGTTCTATCAGCACCAGACTCATAGTAAACCAATCTCATCATGTGCCTCTAGGTTTTTGATGCCACCAACACTACCAGAGAACGACGGTCACTGATTTTGCAGTTTGCTAAGGAACATGGTTACAAGGTACGGTAACACTGCCACTCTTATCTAGAGCCTACTGATCCAGCACAAACTCTAAAGAAAGGCAAACCAGAGGACTCATCGGTGCCAAATCAGCTACCATAGGCTCAACATTTTAATTGGGTTGAGATGGCTATCCAGATCATGGTTAGCCATGGGTGGGAATGTAAATTGGTGCAGCCACTGTGGAAAACAGTATGGAGAGTCCTCAAAAAATTAAAAACAGAATTTCCATGTGCCCCAGAAATACTACTTCGTTTTTTTTTATTCAAAGAAGATAAAAACATTAATTAAAGATATATGCACCCCTATGTTTATTGCAGCATTATTTACAATAGCCAAGATGTGAAGGCAACCTACGTGTCCATCAATAGATGAATAAAGAAGATATGGTATATGGAGAACGATTAGGTTCTTAGAAAGACATAGTGCTCCAAGAAGGATGTATATATACATACACATATATATACACACACACAATGGAATATTACTTAGCAATTAAAAGAACGAAAATTACCATTTCCAACAACATGGATGTGCCTAGAAGGTATTATACTAAATGAAATAAATCAGACAAAAAAGATGAATACCATATGATTTCACTTATTTATAAAATCTAAAAAATACACACAAATGAATAAGTAAAAACAGAAACAGACCCATAGATACAGAGAACAAATTTGATTGCCAGAGGGGATCTGAAAAAGGTGAAGAGGAATTTTTAAAAGTTTTCTTTGGAAAAAGAAAGAAAGAAAGAAAGAAAGAAAGAAAGAAAGAAAGAAAATGATCATGAATTAATTAGATGAATTGGCATCAGGAGAATTGATTTCAGGTGAAATGGTTTCAGGTGAGCTAAATCCCCATCACCACCGTAGCATGCTACTTACAAAAGGTTGTCCATCCCTCTTGGAGCATTGTCTTTCTAAGAGCCTGATTTATTTTGTAGACATTACTTCTAGGATCCCACGTTTTAAAAAACAGTAAAAATACAAAGCAATAATCTGGAGCCATTCAATTTAGAGCCCATCTGCCCCATAAAAATCTGACTTCTTAAAAGCACCACTGAATGAAATTATGTTGTCAGAGATGCCCCAGTGATGAATCAGAGCCATTGAGAAGGGGTCAAGCTCCTATCAAACATAATTCCTTCCTGAAAATTTCTCTTCTGTTTCTCTTATAGGTGTTTTTCATTGAGTCCATCTGTAATGACCCTGGTATCATTGCAGAAAACATCAAGGTAAGGAGCCCCAGTTACCTTTCCTCCTTACTTTGCTTCAGGTTTGGATCATGCCTAAAATTACCTCTATAGGATCAAAGGAGGTATTCTTCCCCAAGATTCTCTTCCCAATTCCTACAGGAAGCATTCCATAACAACTGTGGCCTACAACTTTCCTATGAAATTAAATGAAGCCAACATATATAGAGTTATTAATATGCACCAGGCTCCAAACTTTACTCTCATTGATTTTTCACAACAAACCTGCATGTTAGGAATCATTTCAGTGTTGGAAACAAGAAACTGAGGTTCCAAGAAAAGTGACTTGTCAAGGGTTTATACAGTCAAAAAGAAATAGAACTGGGACTGGACCTCAGACTTGGCTATCTGCCTCAAAAGCTCTTTATCCTGCCCCACGATTCACAGCAGAGCTATCACTACTTTTAGATTCTAGGCATGTGGTCTAGAGCTAGATCACTTACCATAATATTGTATTGTTCCTCATTTCATCAAATTACTGGAGTTCGGGGACAAAAGAGACCTTAGAAGTCATCTTCAACCCTCCATCAGATACTTGAAATCTCAGGTGAATGTCTAGACTTTTTCCTCATACCTCCAGTGACAAGAAGCTCATCACCTTCATCAAGTGCAGTCCAATCAAGCTGAAATCTGCCTCCTTGTAATTTCCATTCAACTGGTCCTATTTTTGCCTCTACAGGCACAGAACATGCCCAATCCCTCTCTTTCCTCTTTATCCATCTATTCATCCATTTATTGATTCAACAGAAAATGAATCCATACACCTGTGCTGGACCATTCTGGGTATTAGAGACCTAGAAATGGATAGAGAAGAATCTTGCTCTTGTGCTCACAGTCTAGTGAGAAAGACTGACAAGTTTATAGGCATAATTCTGTGCTATCAATGCTAAGATGAGGGAATAAAGGAGGCTGTGGACACAGAGTGTTGAGGACCTAACCTTGCATGGGAGGGGTAGGGTGCAACAGGAAGGCTTCTCAATAAAGGTAATAGCTGACCTGCATCTTGAAGAATGCATAGGAACTTGGCAGGCAAAGAATAGGAAATAAGGGAATATCATGTATGAAGTATGGTATCTCCAGGGAACTCTAAGTTGCTTAGGTTGGCTAAAGCAAAGTGTGCAGAGGAATAGGGGAGTAATAGATGAAGACGAAAAAATCATTTCAGGCCCAATCATGATAAACCATAAGTCACCCGCCAAAATATTTCATACTTTGTCCTAAAGTATATGAGAAATGATGAAAGGTCTTAAACAAGGGAATTCCATGGTCAGATGTGCATGTTAGAAATATCCTTCTGGCTATTAGTATGGGAAATGCATCAGAAATAACAAGATTTTATTTTATATATTTTTATTGATTTCAGAGAGGAAGGGAGAGGGAGAGAGAGATAGAAACATCAATGATGAGAGAGAATCATTGATCAGCTGCCTCCTGCACATCCCCTACTGGGGATTGAACCCACAACCCGAGCATGTGCCCTGACCCGGAATAGAACCATGACCTCCTGGTTCATAGGTCGACACTCAACCACTGAGTCACACCAGCTGGGCAGACGTAACAAGATTTTAGACAGAGTGATCAGTCACAAAGCTATCATGAACATTCAGGCAAAAGAAAATGCAGGCCAATTGAAGAGATATTTATAAGATATAGTGGAGAGGATTTTGGTGCCTGCTGAGAGGAGGAGAATGTTAGAAAGGGACACATCTATGACTCCCAGTTGCATTTTAGGCTCAGTTGACTGAGTGGATGATAGTGCCATTCACTGAGATGGGTGGAGAAGGTAGGTTTTGAGAGAATTGGAGATACCAGCCCTAAAGCAAACCTACCATATTCTCCCAGGAAACACTCGATACGTGTAAGCTATTGTGACCCCTGGCCAATATCTCCTATTCTTCAACCATTTCTCATGGCACAATCTCCAGGCCTCTTATAAATGTTCTTTTTAAACAGTGCGTTCTAGAACTGAATATAATGCAACAGACCTTGTTTGGCCACATAGAGATATAAGTAATGAAGAGTTGCACAGTCCAGATTTTCTTCCACTGACTCATTTTATAAACTTGAGCAATACCCTTTCTCCAACTCCCAATTTTGCCATCTTTATTATGAGGGATGTTTTACTCAATGATCTCTAATGGCCCTTCCCAAGGGCCCTGTCAGAGTCTCTGTCTTCCACAGTCCCTCTGTCCTTTTCTCTTCTCCCAGCAAGTGAAACTCGGCAGCCCTGATTATATAGACTGTGACCGAGAAAAGGTTCTGGAAGACTTTCTAAAAAGAATTGAATGCTATGAGCTCAACTACCAACCCCTGGATGATGAACTGGACAGGTAAGAGCCCAGAACTCCACAGTCCAGGTCTGAATGCTTAGCCCTGTTTCAATATGCTGTAGGACCTAGGGACATTTCTTCCCTCTCTGGACCTCACTCAGCTCCTCTATCTGTAAAATCAGGGAGCTGGACTTGATTTGTATTTAAGGACCCTCCTAGTTCTAATTATCAATGAGATGGTGACTCATTGATGTGCAAGGTGTTCACAAGAGGATTGAAGTAGTGTTTTCCTGAGCAATATGGACATATCAGGGACCTGATCTCTGGTGGGGGGCATGGACAGACATTTATAGTTCTTCCTGTCTTTGTTGCTATTATTTTTTGAAAAGTATTCTTTACTCATGGATGGCATTTCAGATTCCAAACATATTCACCTTCCTTGTTTCATTGAATCCCCTGTAAAGGGCACTAAAATGGGTCTTATGATCATAATTTTTCAAGAAGAAGAAATTGAGTCTTAGAGAGCTAAAACTGCTTGCCCAAGCTCCCACCATTAAAGCTAGGATTCTAACCACATATTCTGTCTCCTAGCCATGTCTCTTCTTACAATGCCCATGTATACCTCTTCAATCAATAAGTAGTTGGTCCTTCCAGACTGTGGTGTACATAGGGAGTGTAAATAAGAGCAAGAGAGGTGGGTTATATTCTCAGGTAGCTTCCATAGTGCCTTGAAATATTGGAAGACACATGAAAAATTTGAAACTTTTATTCCTAATACCAGATAAAGATGGGAGAAGTGTTAGCTGTCAGTACAGGGAAGATGAAAGTTTTTGACATAGGTTGTTCCCAGAGCCCTACTCTTTTCCAAAATGGGTTGTGATGAGAAGAGACTTTCAGAGTCACTCAGACTCTTTGTAATCGAAGTGAGAGGGGTAAGGAGGTTTCAACTAAATACTACCCTAAGAAGTTTCAAGAACATCCTTCTAACTCTGTCTAACTGAAGTCCCAAGAGGTGAGCATTGTTACTACCTCACTCCTCAGATAGGGAAAGAAAGACCCAGAGCAGGGCAAAGGCTTATCTGAGGCCACATAATGAATTAGTAGCAGAATATATACTCAAACGCTTATCTCCAAACTTCCAGCCTGGTTCTTCCCTTCTCACATCCCTAAGTCATAAAAAGTGTCACATGAGGCTTAGACACACAGTGCAAGGGGCAGAACCTTAGGTACAATTGTGAAGATTGTTCACTGTGCAAGGATATTTAGGTCAAGGGTATACTTACTTTTCTCAACAAGGCATATGTGCTGGAGTGGGGCTGTTTCTGCCCTGAGGAAAGTGTAAGTTTTTCCAGTTTCCACAGGCAGCATAGGGGCTAGCAGCCTACGGTGAAAGAAATTTGAAGGAGAGGAGCTGAGGTGAGAGTGGCATTGAGAAAGCCCCTAGTCTTCTAGCCTTCAACCTATATTCCTGCAGGTGCTCAGTTAGTGTTTGATGAATCAGTTTGAGTATCACGGTTGACTTTAATCATTTTTCCATGAACAGACATTTATAGTCCATGCCTCGGGGCCCAGCCCTGAGCTCTGCCCTAGGAACCCAAAGAGCGAAGGTCTGTCCCTGCTCCTGCTCTGATACACTGACCATTTGTTTGGGGAAGACAATGAGTATGCAGTTGTTCAGAATAGCAGGGATGATCAAACAAGTGAGCTGGAGGAACACAGAAGAGAAGACCCAGCTCATCTTGGAGGAAGAGGTCTAGAAGAGCAAGTTTACCCAGTTAGGTAGACTATACATGTGTTTAGGGCACCAATAAGGAAGAGGCTACCAAAAATAAGAAGAAAATGATCTTGAAATATTTTATATTTCCAGCATTAAGGTAGTCAAAATAGTAAAAATAAAACCAGAATTTGGTAGAACCTCCTTATAATATAGATTGTGATTTTTATTTTAAATTATATGTGGTAGGGTAGAGTATTAGCTACGGTAATACTTTTTTGTGTGAAACACTTCTAAGTGACTTCACATGTCTGGGCTCAAAGAATTCTTCCTAGAGAGAGTGAATGTACTGGCTCTAGAAGGATGGATGCATAGGGGCTCAACTTTGGAGACCAGGCAAGGAACACATTTTCAAGCAAAGAGAATAGCACTTCATAATGGCCTAGTTAAATCTGAATAAGAGTAGAGGAATACGGAGAAACACCCAGAAAAAGCATAAAGGCTAGAGTAAAACAGAAGTTATGAGCATGGGCCTGGAACAGTGAGGCGAGGCCAAATGAGACCAGTGTGTGAAGGCACCGAGAATGTCAGACTAAGCTGAGGAATTTGGAAATTCTCCTAGAGCCACCAAGAATCTAGTGTCAGGAATAGACAGTAACCAGACAACAATGCTACATCATATATTTTCTACCCTTAAGCTCTGACAGTCCTTGGAGAGGTTGACCTTAGGCAAATCACTTCCTTCTCTCTGTTTCAGTTTCCTCACCCATAAAACAGAGATAATAATCTCTGCTTCCTATGATTGTTATGAGGATTCATGCACTTTGAAGTCTGCATTCCCTGCCAGAAGCTCCCAAAATGTTCAGCAAATATGAATGCCCTATGGGACCATTGGACATGAATGACAGGAAAGGGCATGCTGAGTATGGTGCAGATAGAAAAGCCTTCTTTAGGAAAACCAGAGAGGCTTTCTGAAACCAAACCCATCGCTCACCGCCTTACCTACAGCCATTTCCATTCACTTGGTTTTGTTACTGTGCACACAGGGTTGCTAGTGTGTCACCCCATTGCCCCAGCCTCCCCCACCTCTTTCCAGGGATCACCCTGAACTCCTTATAATAAAACAACTTAGGAGTTAGTGCCTGGCACAGCCGATGCCTCAAAGTCTTGCTCCATGGTTCTAGTCCCCCATTTAGAGCTCCTCTGCAAACAGGTTGTTGAATAATTTGATTATCAATCTGCGTATAGTTATTAGTTCATGACAAAGAATTGAGGAGACTGAAAAGTGGCTCTAAGCAAGGACCACAAGTTCCCCACTGATGTTGTGAACCACATCTGTATTCCCATGCCCAGCACATGGCACACCTTAGAGTATGTTTGTGGAATGGGTGTTGAGCATTGGTCATGCATTTCTAAGTATATATTCCTAACTGACCTAAGAACTCCCAAGCGCAGTGCTTAGAACAGACAAGGGTATGTTTGTTGACTGGCCGATAGGGAAAGAACCTAACTCACTCCACTTTCTGAGTAAGGAAAGATACATACACACAGAGACACAGCACACACAGACACAATCTGGTAACTGCCTATAGAGTGTCAATTACAATATATCACAGCAGAGATTCAAAGAACAGAGAAGCAGAGCTCAGCTCATGATTTGAAAGGGTGAGGGAGTGGACAGGTTTGGAACTGCTGGGGAGATGTTGGAGGTATCCAGAGACACAGGATTACTGCTTCTCCCCAAGTATGTCAGGAGTGTGAACCACAGAAGACAGAACCCCAGATGCCTGGAGTGCGATAAGTGAAGATGAAAAGACAACTTGGCTCAAGTTGAGACTGAGAAAAGAATACAGAGGGAGATGGTAGCAGGCAGTAAGCTTCTGAAGGTGGCCAGGAAGCAAGTTTCTGAAACAGGTACCTAGAATAAGAAAAGGCATGGCATCTTGTTAGAGAAAAGGTAGGTGAAAGCTGGGTTGTGGAGGAAGCTTGAAGGCAGGGTGTGTAGTTGGGGTTTCTCTTGGGACTAGCCTTTCCACCATCAGCCCCTGAACTGCCCTTGCTCTTGCTTGGACTGGCCCAGCCACCTGTCCTACATCAAGATCTTCGACGTGGGCACACGCTACATGGTGAACCGAGTGCAGGACCACATCCAGAGCCGCACAGTATACTATCTTATGAACATCCACGTCACACCCCGCTCCATCTACCTATGCCGGCATGGTGAGAGTGAACTCAACCTCAGAGGCCGCATTGGAGGTGACTCTGGCCTCTCAGCTCGGGGCAAGCAGGTAGGGAAGGCCCCATGTACCCAGAGGCATTGGCTGATCTGGACCAGGGGGTGCCACAGGTGGGTGGAGTAGCCACTACCTGGGTCCTGAGGATTGGGAGTCTCAGTGACAGGGTAGAAGCAGGTTCTGGTCACTCACACTCTTCTGCCCTGATAGCCACTCAGTCTTGAACCATCCTTGAATGCTACCATGTGCCCACAGGAGCTGCAAGGCTGAGAAACTAGGTCTTGGCACTCCAGTTCTGCTCATATCTGGCTGCTTCTCCAACCCCAGCATGATAAGCACCTTGGCCCCTGCCTGACTGGTCCCCTCATCTTCCTCACAACTCTATGCCTTAAAGTACTTGTGCCGTTTCCACACTTAGGCTGCCTTCCTCTGTCAGCTGATGACCACCACTTGCACAGACAGCTACCCTGAAGTGCCCTACCCTTGAATCCATCTTCTCCTCCCTTACTCAGGGCTGATGCTATACCCCCTCCAACCCACTGCAGATCATCACACTGTCAGCACTTATCTCCCACCTGTTACTGCTTCTTTCCTGCCCCACCTCCCACACCCCCTTCCAGGGTCCAGTTGCTGCTCCATGGTCTGGTCTAGGAAGCCCTTCCCTGTCCTCTCCAGTCCCCAGACAGCTTACCATGCCCTGGGCTCCATCTCTCCCATTACTGGCCCATCTCTGACTTTATGGCATGAGTCCTTTCTACCCAGCTAAGCATGGTGACCTGCACGTTATGGGTGCTGGCTCACTAAATGGACACATTTTCCCCAGTGTTCAGCCCTGTGCCTAGGCTTGTTAGCACAGGTTCCTGCTGGGGGAATCGCTTGGGGATGGGACAAATGGGATATGGGTGTGCAGGGAGGAAACACCCTCTTTCATTGGACACTTGTGGCCTCATTTAATCTTCTCAGCAGCTCTGTAGGGTGGGCATTACCATCACCAGTTTATGGATAAAGAAGCTGAGTCCCAGACAGGAGCAGAGAGCAGCCCCAGGTCAGACACAGCGGGAGCCAGGACTGAAAACCAGGCCTTCCTGGCTTCCCTCAGCAGCCCCACTGCAGAGGTGGCATTGTCACAAGCAAGGGACTGCAACTATTCTCGTGGCTCCCTTTCCGTGGCCTTCACACTGGCAGCCTCCCCTCAAGAGGGACTCCCCTCAAGAGCAGAGTCAAAGGCCACCCGAGGCATCACCCCCACCTCATGGCACCACCTGCAGGGTTGTCTTGGGTAGGGCTGGCCACGTCCTTGCCCACCTAGCTCAGCACCCAGCTTGGACACATGGCCATCTCCACACACATGTGAGCATGGACACACACCCGCCTGGCCCCCACCTTCACGCGTGGGCACAGTGCACCACGCACTTTCCCAGGGACTGTCACCACATCCATTACAGTAGCTCACCTACCGTGTGCCAGGGAGTGCTCTGGGCGCTCCCCATCCACGAACTAATCTCCACTGCAGAGACCAGGCTGGGTGAGCGAATGCTGTTCACATCTCACAGCAGGAGATCCCAGGCCAGAGAGGGCAGGGACGCCCCAGGGCACAGGGAGCCTGTGTAAGGGAGCTGCAGCAGTTTAACCCCATCACCTACCCACCCTCCCCCCACCCCCCAGTCAAGGGCTCCTTCCACCAGAGCACACTGACTGCTGCTGACTCAGAACCCGCCCTTAGAATGTGTGCACCCAGTGCCCATATTCGTAAGTGTAAACGTGTGCCTGTGTCTATGCGTTTGTGCCCATGTTCCTCACACACATCTGTACACAGAATAACGTGCCTAGATGCAGAGGAGAGTGAGCCACTGGCTCCTCGGGGCTCCCACTGGCCGCCCTTCGTGGTTTCTCTCAGTGCTGTCACCGTTTCCCTCCTTGGACTGGCTGTGTCTTGAGAACAGGACACCCTGATATTCAGTTCAGGTCCACACTTACTCAGCACATGTTTGAATGTGGTTAGAACCTGGGTACCAGCACCCCTACTAAAGCAATAAGAATTCAAAGACTCAAAGAGAAATATTCCCCAAATCCCACTCCACCACATCTAGACCACACTCTGAGTACCCAGAACCCAAGAAATCACTGCCCTGTGGTCTGGTGTCTGTTTCCAGTGCCTGTGTGGCCCTATCACAGAGTCTGTCCACCTAAAAGCAGACCATATCACAGGAGTGTTCACCCCTAGGTCAAGGTGTGGCCAAAGGGTCACTGTTTGTGGATCAGGGGGATCTGTGAGGATATGATGTGGGCAGAACTTGGTCATGTGACTGGATTATCCATAAACCTGAACTCAAGGCATCTATGAGTGCAGGATGGAGGCAGGAAGAGAAGGGAGGTGGACTGTGGGTGGAGAGCCACCCTATGCACTCTTGTCCCAGTCTCCACAAATGTTAGAGGTGGACTGTTTGAACGAATGAATAACTGACGGGGGGGGGGGGGCGTTCAGTGAACAAGCAACAACAAACAGACACACACACATAAATGCACATATTCTATTCTATTCTATTCTATTCTATTCTATTCTATTCTATTCTATTCTATTCTATTCTATTCTATTCCCTTGATCCGTAGTCACATGGGAAAGTATATGGCTTTTTATAAATTAGAAACATTTAAACTGTATTCTTGCTTGTTCATCATCATTCTACCATTTGTGATAGATCTGCGCTTGTTCTCATGGCTACCCTGTCTTCTTTCATCTCTCTCTCCCCTCCTCTCCTCATCTGTACCCACTACTTTCCAGTATGCTTATGCCCTGGCCAACTTCATTCAGTCCCAGGACATCAGCTCCCTGAAAGTGTGGACCAGCCACATGAAGAGGACTATCCAGACTGCTGAGGCCCTGGGCGTCCCCTATGAGCAGTGGAAGGCCCTGAATGAGATTGATGCGGTGAGACGTAGGGGAATGGATTTCCTGGTGGATGGTGGGGCTTCACTCTCAGCTTATACCCTGGGTTGTCTCTGCTGTCTCCTATGGTAACCTAATTAATTCAACAAACATTTCTTGACAACCAGTCATATGCCAGACACTATTCTGTGTGTTGAGGATCGGTGAAGGCCAGAACAGACAAGTTCTCTGAACTCATGGTGCCCATATGCAGACAGTAAATAAGACACTGCATCTCATGTGACAAAGGATTGTGAGAGGGGAAGTACAAGGGACTATGGAGGCTGAGGGTGCTTCTGACAAGACTTGATGGTGTGAGATTTACAAGGAAAGCTTCCTAGATGAAGGTGGAGATGAGAAAAGAAACAGGCAAAATGGTCTGGGAGTGAGGGAATAAATTTAATTTCAGTGGCAAGGAACAGCTCATGTGAAGGCCCAGAGATGAGAATAGAGCATGGCATGTTCAGAGAACGGAGGCTAGAACAGCAGAGAGGCTGGGGCAATGGTTATGAGGTCTGGAGATACGGGAGATAAGGTTGGAAAGGAAGGTAGCTCATAGGGCTTTATAGCGTGTTGAGGAATTTGGATGCTGACCTATAAATGGGAAGCCATTGATGTAGTCTAAGTCAAGGAGGAATGGCTTGAATGTGATTCACTTTTGAAAAATAAAATAAAAAAGACCGTTCTGGCCACGTGTGGAGACTAGGTAGGAAGAGGGCCAGAACGAGCATGTAAACTGGTATGGAGGTGACTGCATTAGTCCAGGAAGAGGTGAGGGTGTGATGGACCAGAGTAGTGGCACTGGAGATGGAACGAAGAAGAACTTGAGGAATATTTTATGGGACTCTTATCACATGGCAATCTCTCTTTGGGCCAGGTTTTCCCATGAGCTCTTTTTTAAAATGTTTTTATTTGTTTTTGAAAGAGAGGGAGGGAGAGGGAGAGAGAGAGAGAAACATCAATGATAAGAGAGAATCATTGATTGGCTGCCTCCTGCACACCCCACACTGCAGAAAGAGCCTACGACCCGGGCATGTTCCCTGACTGGGAATTGAACCATGACTTCCTGGTTCATAGGTCAATGCTCAATCATTGAGCCACACTATCTGGGCCCATGAGTTCTTTGAAAAGGCATTGTTTCCTCTCCATTGTTTCACCTGCACTATAGATACACTGATATCAGATAGCGGCACATAAGTTATGATTGTTAGACCCCAAAATAGAAACTTAACCACAGATACAAATAACTTGAATGTAGGTAGGTTAACCTGCTTGCCTACTAGGTATGCCTCTATAAATACTGACAAGTATGTGTGTGTGTATACATATGTCCTTAACGATAGATGTACAGCGATACCCATACTTACAAAAAGGGATATGTAGCATCGTTCTGCATATCACATGTATTTGCTATAAGATACATGCAAGAAAATATATCAGCTCTTCATCCAAAGAGTTCAGTTATGGTTTGTTTCTTGCACATATGTGATATAAACATTTATTTGATACCTACTTTGTTTCGCAAAATCTGTTTCACATATTTTGGTTCCTGTCTTCACTGAATTTTCAGGCTCAACAGGTTAGACAGAGGAATACAAAGCAGTGTGTGTAATACAGGCTCTGGTAGGCTAGACCGTGGGTGCACAGATGTCGAGGCAGGACAGGTGGCCCAGCCAGGATCTGCCTGGAGGAAGTGATGCCAATGTGAACTTGGAAGGTTAATAGTGAGCCAGATAGAGAATATCAGGAGTGGTATGCCAGGCAGAGAGAACAGCTTAAACAAAGAGGGTATTGTGTGTGTGCAGCTGCTAAGGTTGTAGCAGTGGGGGCTAAGAGGGAGGAAAAAGGAATAGATTTGAGAGAAATTTAGGAGGTAGAATCCTAGCAATGGGTTACGAGGGTGTGGATGAGGAAGAAGCAAGAATTTAGAATGATGCCTACGTTTCTGGTTTGTTTTCCATGATCAATAATATATTGTTAATTAGTTCCATTTACTGAGTCTTTAAAATGTGCCTTGTATATCCTGTACTAGTCTCTTTTGCACATATTACCTCTAATATTCAAAACACTCTTGTGGGGTCATTGTAATTCTCCTTGTTTTGCAGATGAGGAAAATAAAATTCAGAGAGGCTAGGCAGTTTTCCTTAAGTCAATAGGGAATCAGTGACCATTTCCACTGGCAACAGGTTCTCAGAATGCCTCTGAATAGAAAGTTAAAGCCAATCTGGAAGGATGTTGTGTGTCCTATAGGGTGCACTTTCTCCCATGGATAGGGCCAGTTGAAGAAGTTGGACAATGCATAGCTGTTTGTGGGCTGGGGAAGAGGTGAACCTCACACCAGAGCCTGCTGCTTCCCCTACAGGAAGGTCTAATCCTTGGAATCCACACAACCAGATGGAAAACCAACATCGCTTCCCCACCCCACCAGCAGCCACCTCACTTCTGGGGATTTCTAAGTGGACTCAGAGTTCTCATATGCTCCCGAGGGACAGTCTCTGAGCTCTCGATTCCTCCTTTGGGTAAAGAGAGTGTATCTCCCGTAGGCCCACTCTGAAACTGTTAGGGATTTACTAACGCTTGCCTTCTGAGATGTGTGTGGATAGCTGTTTCTTTATCTGTCAGAGATCCTGGAGCAGAAGTAGGAGCAGGAGGGATGAGAGATGCTCTAAAATGGAAGAACCCTGCTGTGGACGTGCATAAACTTGCACACACGGTCACAAACACTCACCACAGTATGCTTACAGTCACAGACATGTACTTCATGGACACTAGTCAGACACAGGTTCTCTCTCAGACACATCTACCAATAACAGCTACGCCATACGCACAGACGTATACACACTTACAAACACACCTAGAGATACATGCAGACACAATCACAATCACCATAGACACACATGCAGTCTTTGCAAATTTCTACATCACATGAGCACAGAAGTGTACCATGGGCACACACACAGTATATCACACAACCTCAAGCATATTATCACAAATTCACACAAGCTTCAGGTATAGGCACACAGATGTTCACACATATCCACCAGAAACATAATCAGGGACATACACACTCACAGATATACATGCCACAGACACACTGAGGTACACATGGAAAGACAGACCACAGAAACATTCACAGAGGCATTTTCTCAGATGCTCAGACACCCTGTACACACACAATCACATGAGCACACTACATATGATGAGACAAATATACAAACACAAAGCATAGATCCCTAAACATACCACAGGTACACACCATAAGCATGCTGCACACACACATGCAAAGTCACAAATCCTTAAGCCCACATATTTTTTTTTTTTTAAATCATCACCCAAGGATATTTTTTCATTAATTTCTACGGAGTGTTGGAGGGGGAAGGAGAAGGAGCAATAGAGAGGAGCATCGATGTGAGAGAGACACATTGATTGGTTGCCTCCCACACGCACCCCTATAGGGGCTGGAGCACCTGCAACTGAGATAAGTGCCTTTGACCGGGAATCAAATCCGTGACCCTTTGGTCTATGGGCCAATGCTCTAACCACTGAGCAACTGGCCAGGGAAAGCCCACATATTTATAAAAATACATACACATATGTACAATATACACCTACAAACCTATTAGGACAATCATATAGGAACACCAGAGACCCACCATGCTGAACACATCTATACACATGCACTCTCACATCTGCACAGCCACATACCTCGTACACACACACACACATATACACTCAGACAACAGGCACAAACCTAAAGCTGTGTTCACAGAAACCTAGGTGCTACTGTTCTACAATCATTTGGCCTTAAAACTATGGTAAAAGCAGGCCAGGATGGCATGGCTCAGTGGTTGAACATCAACCTATGAACCGGGGGTCACAGTTCAATTCCCAGTCAGGGCACTTTCCCGGTTTTCGGGCTTAATCCCTAGTGTGGGGTGTGCAGGAGGCAGCCAGGCTGTGTGGATTTCACCATGTGAATACTTTTGTCCCCAAATAATTTTTCCTCAGGGTGTCTGTGAGGAGATGACCTATGAAGAAATCCAGGAACATTACCCTGAGGAATTTGCACTACGGGACCAAGATAAATATCGCTACCGCTATCCCAAGGGAGAGGTAAGCTTTGAAGGGTGGACTGATTCCTAGAGCTCCTCCTCAGTATCCTCATTCCAACCCTCGAGGTTTCTTAGTTTCCTAGATTGCTTTCGAAACAGAATAAAGCATATATTGCAGCAACTGCCACCCCACAGGCATATGATTATCTGGCCCTCGGCTGACTCAGATTCTTGGCTATGGGCAACAAATTCCTCTGTTTTAAAAGGAGGCTGGGGGAGGGGCGGAGGTCAGTGGGGGGGGAAAAAAGAGAGAGATATATGTACTACTATTTGTAATACCTTAAACAATAAAATTTATAAATAAATAAATAAATAAATAAATAAAAGCTATACGTTTGCCCTGGCCAGTGTTTCTCAATGGTTAGAGCATTGGCCCATGCACCAAAGGGTCTTGGGGTTCGATTTCCAGTCAAGGGCATGTACCTGGGTTGCAGGTTCGATCTCCCACCCTGGTTGGGTTTGTGTGGGAGGCAACCAATCAATGTGTCTCTCTCACATCGATGTTTTTCTCTGCCCCCACCTCTTTCCCTTCGTACATCCCTCGCTTCCACCCTCTCTAAAAATCAATGGGAAAAATATCCTCTGGTGATGATTGAATGAATGAATGAATGAATGAATGAATGAATAAAATAAAAGCTACATATTTGCCTGCTGTTTCCTCTCTGCTTTCAGGAGGACTCACCTTACCTAGACTTTGTCTCTGGTATACTTTCACTAAAGGCACTTGAACTACTTCAACATACTCTTTGGGTTGGAGTCCAAATGGACAATGGCTAATACTTTAACCTACTTCTTTGCCACCACATAAGCCAGACCATCAGTTCTCTATCCCCATAAGAAGTTAATCCTCATTGCTTTCTACACCGCCTCCATTTAGCCAGTTCTACATTTTAGAGTATTTATTAGTCATACCCCATTTCTGATACAAATTCCTGGGAATAGTTATCAGAAAAGCTAACATCAGGGAATATAAAACAATTGATAGCCTGTGTTACAAAGCATTTTCACTTTTTTATCTTCATCCTCAGAAATGACATTATAAAGTTGGTCTGAGTTTGCTCTCATTTTCCTTTATATATTTTGAAGCTATGTCATTAGAGGCATATAAATTTAAAGCAATTATATCTTCTTAGCAAATTGTGTATTTTATTATTATATAATGAGCAAACCTCCTTTCTCCTGAAAATGGTTTTGCCTAAAAGTGTATTTTATTTAATATTAGCATAGCTATCTAAGATTTCTTATAGTTAGTATTTGCCTAGTTCATCTTTATCTGCTTATTATTTTGAGCTTCTTTTTGTCTTTTTGTTTTGTGTCTATTACAAACAGTCCATAGTTGACTTTTGTTGTTTTTAATACAAATTGCAAATATATGTCTTTTGAATGGTAGGTTTGGTACATTTACTTTTATTGTAATCACTAATTTGTTTCAGCTTATTTCTGGTCTCTTGTTTGGAGCTCTCTATGCTTTATTTTTTTCTCTTTTCCTCCCTTCTTTAGAGTTGATAGAGTTTTTAGATCTACATTTGAGTTATATAATCTGTTTCTGTTCTTTTAGAGGTTGCTCAACATTTTAATATGCATGACTAACAAAATCTAAAATCTACCTTTCCCCTAAATTAAGATAAGAATTTTAACTCTGGTCATTCCCTCTCCCAACTTACATGTTCATTACTGTTTTGTATTTTAGTGCAACCTTGTGTCATAATCTTCAAATGAATTCTTATTGTTATTATTAAACATGTTATTGTATACAGTCAGTGTTTGTTTATATTTAATCACATGTTTACCAATTCCTTTTATCAATTTTTCTCCTTGCATCTCAAGTTTTCCCTCTGGGTTCAATTTCCATTTTCCTTTAGAAGTTTATTTAGGAGGATCTGTTGGTAGTAAACACCATTTTTGTCTAAAAATGTCTTGGTGGGGTTCAGTCCTAGATGATGCTTTTGGTATAAAACTCTAGGTTCATGGTTGTTTTCTCTCAGCACTTTGAAGAGAGTACCCCCACGCTGTCTTCTGACTTCTAATGGCTAAGAAGTCTCCTATCAGTCTAATTGGTATTTCTTTTCTCTCTGCCTGTTTTTAGGGTCTTTGTATCTTTTTTTGCTTTTAAGTTCTACTCTGATATATCTAAATATTCATTTCTTTTCATTTATCTTGCTTGAGTTGGACTCCTGTACCTGAGAATTGGCATTATATCTTTAATTATTCTTCTCTCACATGCTCTCTATTATCTCCTTCTGGAAACACAATTAGACATGTGTTAGTCCTGTCTCTATTCTTTAGGTCTCCTAACTATTTTTCTTATTTTTTATCTCTTTGCTGCAGTTGAAATAATTTCTTCAGCTCTGTCTTCCAAATTCCTATTTCTTCCGTTGTATCTAAATTTCTGTTTACTCCAACAATTGAGTTTTAAATGTTAAGTAATATATGTGTATATATTTTGTTTCTAGAATTCTATTTAGTTCTGTTTCAAATCTACATCATGTATTTGGTAGCATCTTTTTCTTAGATTTTTTCTCCATCTTTTAATTTTTAAAAATTTTTAAACATATTCATTTTATATTTTGGATTATTTATCTTGAGTTTTTCAAGTTCTCACCTTGTTTGTTTTTTCTGTTTATTTTCACTCATAATAGTTTATTTTTCTTTGTGTATTGTGAGCTTCAGTTTGGCAAAAATTTATCTGTGGGATTCCCACGTGGTCTGAGTTGAGAGAATCCAGAGAAAATGTCTATTTGCTTCTTCCAGACACTCCAAGAAGCTAACAACTTGAATCACTTTTTATTAAACTCTCAGCTTAGAATTTTCTAAAACACATGAATAGTGTAATTCTGAACCAAAAACCCACTTGAGGGTAGACTTGTGGTTGTACATTCTTATAGGAGACATTTTCTAAATTTTTATACTCAGAGTCAAACAGAGACAGATATAAGTTCTTATTGTTACCCTTTGCCTATATATACTTTTTTTCTAGTTTACACTTTTATTGAGGATGTAGCCCTTTGAGGGTCTCAGGTTTATTGGAGAAATTCAGTCCCAACTCTCTACTTTGTATATACCTAAGGCCTTGTCTCATGTCTCTATAAGGTTTTAAAAATTCAAGCCTCACCCAGCCAGTGTGGCTCAGTGGTTGAGCATCAATCTATGAACCATGAGGTCACAGTTCCATTCTGGGTCAGGGCACATGTCCAGGTTATGGGCTCGATCCCCAGTAGGGGGCGTGCAGGAGGCAGCCAATCCATATTCTCTCTCATCATTGATGTTTCTATCTCTCCCTCTCTCTTCCTCTCTGAATTCAATACAAAATATATTTAAACAATAATAATAAAATAAAAATAAAAACTCAAGCCTCTTGGAAAATATGATTATAGATGCCCCCATGGTAGTTGTTGCTTCCACATCCACTTAGCACCCTTGTTTACCAAGGTTTTCTTCGTTTTGGAACCCTATCTTTATAATGTTTCCTTAATTTTCTTGAAAAGTCAGCAGTGCAGACATTTATTTTATCTAGCTTTTCTAGGAATTTTTTGTAGCAAGAAGTTTTATTATTGTTATTGATATCTAGTTGGATATATTGATTGCTCCCCATTTAACAGATGAGAAACCAAGAACTTAAGAAGGAAGTGAGTTGCCTAAGGTCGTACTGCTTGGTCAACAGCTGAACTGACACCACATCCAGGTTTTCCTGATGTCTAGTCTAGAGTTCCTCTCCTCTGGGCAAATGTGCCTCATCTCCCTTTCTTAATCGAAGTATTTTCTTCTTTTTAGTCCTATGAGGATCTGGTTCAGCGGCTGGAGCCGGTTATAATGGAGCTAGAACGGCAGGAAAATGTACTGGTGATCTGCCACCAGGCTGTCATGAGGTGCCTCCTGGCCTACTTCCTGGATAAGAGCTCAGGTACCACTGTCCTCTCTGTTCCTGGCATGGGGAGCTGGATGTCATTTGAGACCCTGACACTAGCAATTGGTGGTTTATATCTTCGTAGTTAAGAGCACGGTGTCTAGAACAGTGATGGCGAACCTATGACACGCGAGCTCATTTTTTTGGTTGATTTTTCTTTGTTAAATGGCATTTAAATATATAAAATAAGTATCAAAAATATAAGTCTTTGTTTTACTATGGTTGCAAATATCAAAAAATTTCTATATGTGACATGGCACCAGAGTTAAGTTAGGCTTTTTCAAAATGCTGACACGCCGAGCTCAAAAGGTTCGCCATCACTGGTCTAGAACAAAGATGCCTGAGTTCAAGTTCTTGCTCTGTCACACACTAGCTTTGGCAAATTACTTTAACCTGGCCTCGGTTTCCTCATCTTTAAAATGGGAAAGAAAATGATGAAGTTTAAATAAATCAAAATGTGTAAAGAGCTTAAAATAGTTCATGACACATAGCATGGGCTACATAAGTCTTAGCTACTATTATTAGTATTACTACCATTCTCAGCTAACATCTTCAAAGCCGGCCTTAACAGTTTGCCTTGATCTGGAAAAGCTAAGCTAGTATTTCTCTGAAGCACGCTGTCTGCGGGTAGTAATGGACCTTCCCTGACCTCATGATCCTGATTTTAGGTTTCTATGTTGCTGTAGAGGTGATTTTCTCAAGATAGTGTTTCCATTGTTTTACATTTAAATGATTATTTCTTTTTCTAAAAAATGTCTAGACATTGTTGAGTATTTATACACTGAGTACACATACTGAGTTGCAAACTCAGGCAAGTGGACTGGCAAGAGACTATTGTGCCACCTTCAAGTGAGAGAGTCCACTTCTGACTGAGATGCTGACGTATTGGCATCTCCTGGACACTGAGGGTGCGTGAGGACAGTGCAAAGCCATATTTGAAGTGGGCAGTGTTTGCAGATTTGTATCATTTCTATGTTGTTAATTTCAAAATCAAGGGCACTTGGAATATATAGTCATCCAGATTTGGAACCTGGGGAACTTGAGACTTCACATTGGACAAATCATTCCCTCAATTTCCTCACTGAAAAGGGGTGGGGGAGGAGGGGGTCCCTGTGCTACTAGGTTTCTGATACCATCCACACATCTACTGCTCGGTGCTATCTTTGAGACTGCAAGGCAAGCACAGTAACCTGACTGTGCAGGTGAGGAAATGGTGGCTTTGAGAGGTCAAATGACTGGCCCTACCTAGGTCATAGGGCTTAGAGGGGTTGGGAAGGACATTAATCCCAGATGCATTCCAGAAGCCTTCCCCTCTCACACATGTATGGGATGTGTGGGCGGCTCATGCATGTCCAATTGGCACACTACTTTACCTACTTCCTACCTGCTTTCATGCACAGGCCACACCAGCTGCTCACAGCTGCCCTGGAAGCTGAGCCAGGCAGGCTGAGCACAAGCTCCGACCCCTATTACTCAGGTGAGGAATCTGAGGCCCAGAGAGATGATGTGACTAAGGATGCAGACCCAGCAGACCTCACAGCTAGGGCACTCTCAGAGCACACCTAGTCCAATCCTATGCTGTAAGAGATGGGAACTCTCAGAGCCAGAGAGAGAAAAAGTAGGGCCAGGCCACTTGTGGAGGTGGTGGCAGAGCAGGGTCAGAGACCTCCGGCAAGTGGGTTCCCTATTCTGAGTTTGCTCCCTCACATCTGCCATGAGGAACAGTAACTCCCACAGAGTATCAGCAAGGATGGAAGGAGATAGTGCACCAAAGTGCCGGGCCCAGGGCCCGACAGTGATGCTGACCAAGAGGAGGAGAAGGAGCAGTATAGACACCTAGGAAATTGCCAAAACAGATGTTTCAGGTGGCTGGGAGGGCATTGGCACGCCCCTTAAAAGTGTAAGAGAGGCCCAGCATGGCTCAGTGGTTGAGTGTTGACCTATGAACCAGGAGGTCACAGTTCTATCCCGGTAGGGGTGGATTCATCCCCAGTGGGGGGCCATGCAAGAGGCAGCTGATCAATGATTCTCTCTCATCATTGAAGTTTCTATCTCTTCCTCTCCCTTTCTCTTTGAAATCAATAAAAAATATTTTTTAAGTGTAGGAGGGACTCTAGGGATGAGAAGCTATGAAGGTGGGTTCTGGCTTAATGAAAGGAGATGGGGAGTGGTATGGGCAGTCTGGGTGGATGGACAGGTGGGTGTCATCAGAGAGTGTTGAAATCTGGAGGTGTCGACTCAAGATACTATGAGCCCCTCAAAGACTGGCAGCCGACTGCAGTGGACAGAGCACACAATTGAACCTCTCAGAGGGTTCTGGGTTCTAGGCCCAGGGCTGCCACTCCCTGGCTGTGTGCCCTAGGACAAGTGTCTTCACTCTGAGAGCCTCGCTCTCCTCATCTGTGCAATGGGTCTGATCATCCCCTCTCCTCAGGGCTGTCTGATAAATTCAACCTAGGCCTGTACAAGAAATTATAAGTGGATATTGAGAGAACATTATGCATCATAGTCAATAACTGGAAACAAGGGAATAATGCTTGTCCACCAAAAAGAGTGAGAGGCGTCAGAGGACGCAGGGCTGTGTGGGGGAAAGGCTGTGCAGGCTGCTCAGGTACCCACACCCCCATCCCAGGGTCTCAGGAACCCCTTGTGGAGATGCATTGTGGGCCTCTGTGGCCGGGGAGCCTGTGGAAGAACCAGGGCTGGGGCTGGGGGTGGGGGGTTGGAAGCCTGCCTTGGGGTCATGGTTGCCCTGTGAGCTACCTCCAGGGTGACCATCCTGACCATCCCAGGGGACCCACGGCCCGGCTGCATTCCCCAGGGCCCACCTGCCTCCCCTCTGCTCTCTTCCTCCCTGGCCACCCTGCAGGCTGTGGGGGAGTGGGCTCCAGGGGAGGCCGACCATGGGGTAGGGCTGTGGACAGGGGAGAGTGCTGTCAACCTGCAGGCCTGGAGGTCTTGGGGACCTGGGAAACCCCCCCCCCAGCACCCTGTCTCTGATGGCTGCTTTCTCCTCCTTTCCAGATGAGCTGCCGTATCTCAAGTGCCCTCTGCACACAGTGCTCAAACTCACACCTGTGGCTTATGGTGAGAGCCCCTACCTTTATCTGGGGAAAGTCACATAGAGGCCATGAGAATACCTCCAGTGCCTACCATTTGCCCAGTAGAGTCCTAGGGGAGGTTCCTTGTGTGGGTAGTTGGATGTCCTGGTAGAGGTGGGCCTGGTGGTGGCAAGATGAGCACTGAGCATAGAACACCAAACTGTAGCAGGGTCACGGGGGGCAGCGGGGGCGGGGAGAGTAGTCTCCAAAGGGGACCAGGGGAACAATTAAGTGTATATTGGGGCCATATTGAAGAAAGGCCTCAAAGGCTAGACTCTCTTGGGGCATTAGTTAGCTGTGAAATGTCCATGAGTAGGGAAGAGACAGACAAATCTTTCTGGACTGTGAACAGGACAAATGGTGTACTGAATCCCAGAGTAGAGTGCAACCCAGAGATGGAGCTAAGGGGGCTTCCATAGGCATTGGGTCTCCTCTGCCAGCCCCAGCCCCATGATACCACTGTCCTCCTTCAGCCTCCCCAAAACTCCCTGTGACCTCCACACCTTGAAGGTTCCATAACCATTTTCCTCTAATTACACTTTATCTGGGGCTGATGGTCTCAAGGCAGTGGCCCAGATCTCCTCCACCACTTCACCATCTGACAGAGCTGGGAGGACCACAGAGCTCCATCATTATTATGTAGATTAGATTGCTGTCCCACAGACCCCAAGACTTGGGGGAGCCCCAGAGATCATCTCTTTTCTTCTCGCCATTGACAGTTGAGCAACTGAGGCTCAGAGACCACTGAGACGATTAGGGAAGAGCTGGCAGGATGTCTCTTTGGTGGCCTCTTAGGCCTGGTGTCTTCCCCACACATCACAAAGCTGGTCTAAGTTCCCTCCCTACCGGGAAGTCACAACTACACACAGTATGGAGCTGGGGGTGTGGGTGGTGATGGGCACATTGAGGAATGACACCTCAGGAAAGACTTATTCTTTCATTGGGGGCTTATGGATGGGTTTTTCTTTTTGAGGATGCAAAGTGGAGTCCATCTACCTGAATGTGGAGGCCGTAAACACACACCGAGAGAAGCCTGAGGTAGGTGAGGGCCTCTGTGACCTATGCGGGCACATGGTGAAAGCACCCTCCCCACCCAAAGGGCCACCCCAGTGCCACAGACCTTGGGTGTTTTGAACCATCAAATAGAATAACCAGCACCTAGAAATGCTGGAACCTCCGCCCAGATTTGGAGGCAGCATGGATATGCAGGGCTAGAGCAGCCCCTCCCAAAAAGGCCTCAGACCAGACTCCTCCAGGCTCTCCTGAGAAAAGGATCAGGATGCAGGCCTGGCTGAAGGAGGGGAGCCTGGTAGTGAGGACAACCGATGGGATGGGCTGGGGCTCCACACTGCTATCTCCTTCCTGTTAATCCTGGGCTTTCTTCTCTCAGAATGTGGACATCACCCGAGATCCTGAGGAAGCCCTGGACACTGTCCCTGCCCACTACTGAGCTCTCTCCAGGAAGTCAAACTACCTCTTTCCTGACTGTCTTCCACCTTTAGAAGCTTCTATCCTTGCTCTTCTACACTTAGAAGACTTTGGATTTGGTCTCACTGGGAGACCCTGCTTCCAATGAAGAAGCCCTCAGCAGTTCCAAAACAGATGTCGATTTCTAGCTACAACCAAGGGGCTGTCTAGCTCTGGATGAAACTTTTTCCTTAATTTTCATTCTCTGATCAATGAAAACTTCTCTTACTGCCTCTAAGAGGGGAGAGGTGGTCATTGTGAGGCTTCTCCCACAGGATCATCTTAAGATCCTGACCCCGCAAAGTGGCTCTGGTGCTGTGGGGATGTGGAATGGATGAGAGCTTCCTGGAGGAAAGACTTCTGGGAGGAGATAGGTCTCTGTGTCTGCCTATGGGCTTTGTTCCTTGGTGGGCAGTGTTCCTGGGCCACGACACCATCATCCCTATACTCAGAGAAGCTGTACTTGGACCACAGTGCTCCTGTCTTCTCCAACTCTTGCTGCCATTCTGAGTGTTATCACTGTCCATGTAAATAATCCAAAGAATACCCTAAGCCTCCCAGTCCCCCTCAACTCCATGACCACCCACTCCCTGGACATTGGCACCATGTAGACTTCTCCCCAGTGTGACTTCTTAAATACATGCATCCCACTATCTGACCACAGACCCACAGTTCTTACAACTTTCTGTGTCATGCACAGGATCTCTAGCAGCGTGCCTTCTATACAGCAGACATGCACATAGTATTTCTGGCCAGGTACCAGTAACCCAGTGCTGAAAAGACAAACTTATACAGTATTTTCTGGTACTCTAGCCCACCCCACCTTCTCAGGGATTGCCTACTTCAGTCAATTCATGACTATTCTTTTTCTATCTCCTGTCCTTTTCTATTGGCTTTTGCCCCGACGGTCTCTGCAACATGGTCAGGTCTCTCTCCTATCCCAATAAAACTCTCCCTTGTTCCTGTGTCACCCTCTAATTACCGCCCCCCCCCCTCCATTCTTACACAAACATCTCAAAATGAATGTATAATTACTGTCCAGAACCTTCTCCCTGTGCATTCTGTTCCAGGCTTTCCCCCTCCATATCTTTGTTCATATTCCTGCCATGCTTTCCCCAGGTCTGTATCCCACTGAAGTAATCCTTTCCTTTTAGCCAAAAGCTGGACTCCACATTTCCCAAAGAGCTATGCCGATCTTTAGCTCTTCTATGAACTCAAAATGTCACTCACAACAATTAAGCATAATAAAGAAAGAAAACAACTCCAGTTCATTTTGCAAATTTAATGGAACGCTGATACCAAAGTACAACAACAGCACACAGAAAGCGAACAAGAAAGCAGGACTGGCAACTGGATTTTTCATAGCATGTCAACCTCAGCTGATGGGTAGTATCTGCTTAGACTGCTGGGTGGACAAAGATCCCAGGGATGTTCCTTGGCTTCATGGGAAGAAGGGACTGCTGCAGCTCATTAGCGGGATCTGTAAATGTGGGTCATAAACCTGAAAACAAAACGCCAAAAAGGAACATATTTTAGCATCAAATATACTGTTTTCTCATACTTCCTCCACTGTCTTCATCTCCCCACCCTGCCCTCCCACCTCGGGGTTTCTTATAACATTTCCCAGAACTTATATGCATACCCACGGGCCTTGGCTATGGAAATGCTGTAATTACCTGAAACCTCACTAGCCATAGGAGAAGCTACAGGCACCAAGGCTGGTGGCTCCACCACCAAAGGGAGCACCGTTGCTCGGTCCACCGCTGAAGCCAGCACCGGTGTTCAGTCCACCGCCGAAGCCAACGATAGAACTGGGTCCACCATTGAAGCCAATGCTGGTGCTGGGTTCGCCAGTAAAGCCAATACTGGTGTTGGAACCACTGCCAAAGCCAATGATGGTACTCAGTCCTCCGTCGAAGCTGGTATTAGGCCCACCACCAAAGCCATCACTGATGTTGAGGCTACCACTAAAGCCAGCACTGGTGCCAAGTGTGCTGCCAAAACCAGCATTGGTGCCCAGTCCTCCACCAAAGCCATCGCTGGAGATCAGTCCGCCACCAAAGCCAGCACTGGTGCCTAGTCCACCATTGAAGCCAGTGCTGGTGCCTAGTCCACCATTGAAGCCAGTGCTGGTGCTCAGTCCACCACCAAATCCAGTGCCGGCACTTAACCCATCGCCAAAGTTAAAACCCACACTGGTGCTAAGCCCGTTACCAAAACTGGCACTGGTAGCTCCACCAAAGCAGGCGCTGGTGCTAGGAGGGCCACCAAAGCATAGGTTGGTATTAGGCACATTACCAAAGAAACTGGTGCTGGGACCTGCACCAAAGCCAATGCTGGCGCTAGGGGCACTTGCAAAGTCAGTAGTGGTGCTAAGTGCCCCCGTGAAGTCAGCACTAGTGCTGAACATACCGCCAAAGCCAGAGTTGGTGGTGGGTGCACCACCGAAGCCGGGGCTACCACCAACAGCACTGCTGAAACCAGCACTGGTGTTGAGCGCACCGCCAAAGCCGACACTGGTGCTGATTGCACCACCAAAGCTAGCACTAGGATTGGGAGAGCCACTGAAGCAGATGCTGGTGCTCAGTGTGCTGCCAAAGTCAGCAATGGTGCTGGAAGAGCCACTGAACGAGACACTGGTGCTGAGGATGCTATCAAAACCAGTGCTGGTGCTCGGAGAGCCACCGAAGTAGATACTAGTACTGAGCGTGCCACCAAAGCTGGCACCAGAGTTGGGAGAGCCACCAAAGCAGACACTAGTACTGAGTGTGCCACCAAAGCCAGTGCTGGTGCTAAGTGCACCGCTAAAGACGGCACCGGTGCTGGGGGCACTGCCAAAGCTGGTACTGGTAATGAGAGCACCACTGAAGCCAGCAGTGGTGCTCAGTGTGCCTCCAAAGCCAGGGCTGGCCCCGCCACTGAAACTGGTACTGGTGATGAGTGGGCCACTGAAACTAGAGCTGACCCCACCACCAAAGCTGGCACTGGTATAAGGTGTGCCACCAAAGCTAACGCTGGCTGTGCTGCTGAAGCTGGCACTGGTGCTGGGTGTGCCACCAAAGCTAATGCCAGTTCTGCCACCAAAGCCACCACCACTGGGGCTGGGTGCACCACTGAAGCTAATGCTAGCACCATTGTGGAAGCTAGCTGCGGTGCCAGCTCCTCTGCTGAAGTCGATGTTGGTGCTGGCATCTGCATTTTCGTGGGCTCTGGCCTCAATTTCAAATGAAAATCTGCTCCACGCCTGAGTATCATCGCCTAACTCTTCCCGTGTTAGGCAGTCGATATCCATGTCATCCCAATTCCAGGGCCCAGCCACAGCTTCCTCTCCAATTCCCATTTGGGCTCTTGCCTCAGCCCTGGCCTCAGCCTCAGCCACAGCCACAGCTGCAGCCTGGACTTCCATCTCCACCGCCTCCCGGTACTGAGCAGCCCAGTCCTTGGGGTCTTTCTTCTGCACCTGAAATGGGAATGATAATCATTATAAGGAAAATAACCTTATAATTATGTATTAAGTGCATATTATGGGCTTGGTATAAAACTAGTAGCAATGTTTTTCAAGACTATCATGGGTCAGTCTTGAGATCCAATTTTAGCTCTAATGACTTAGGTACTGTGTGACCTTGGATAAGTTACTTAACCTTATTGAGCCCAAGTGTCTTCATCTGTAATATGGGAAGTGATAAGAGAGTAAATGTGTTATGGATTAACTGCTGTGTCTCCCAAAAATTCATATGTTGAAGCACCAGCCCCCAATGTGACTGTATTTGGAGATCGGGCCTTTACAGAGGTCAAGTTAAATGAAGTCATAACGGTGCGACTGTGATCCAATAGGATTAGTGTCCCCATAAGAAGAGGCTCTCTCTCCACCATCTTAGGACACAGTAAGAAGGCATCCATCTGCTTTCCAGGAAAAGAGACCTCAGCAGAAACTAACGCTGTTATACCTTGATCTGGTACTTCTAGCCTCCAGGATTATGAAAAAATAAATTTCTGTCATTTAAGCCATCCAGTCTATGGTATTTTGTTATAGCATTCTGAGCACAGTAATGCAAACTATGAAGAATGACTGAAACAATGTAAACTTTACGTTGAGCAGCATCCTGGGACAAAATTAAATTCCATATGTTTATATATGAACTGCAGGCTGCCCTGTACCTGCCCATCCCTATACATAGTCTGCCCCAATCAGGGGCAACCCGTACCCTTAATATGCCAAGTCAGGGCAGGTCTCCTATTACCTTGCAGGCAAACTTGAGGACTTTCATCTTGCTAGTCTCATGGTAGGAGCGCAAGCCCCAGAAGAACTCATATTCAGGTGGTCTGCTGTTGGGGACCCTCTTGTACTCCAGGTACCTTAGAGAAAGGAAATGAAACTTGCTTCTAAACAAACAAATCTGTTGTCTAACAACTGGGAACCAGGTGAAAACTTCCTTCAAACACTAAACTCAGCTCCTGGAGAAGATTTCCAAGACCCTTCATCCCCAGACTCACTCCCAAACATAGTTCATGGTCTGGCCTCCACTATTAAGCCATTTCCCATTGACTGTGTGCAAGAGTCACTTGGTGCTGCAGGGGAGGCATGTGTAGGGCATGATGTCACAGGGAGGCCAATGTACCCTGCCACCTGTGAGGAGTAAGCCCAAGTTCCTGTTGGGTGTGTTGTAAACAGAGGAGCCATTCTTCAGACACTCTGCTCTGAGCACACCCCCCTAACAAGGGCCTTGTGTTTGATCTGGCCCAGCCTTGGAATGTCCCACCCATGGGGATTGTAGACAAGACTCAGATTTGGGGCACAGGATGCTGATACCTCTAAAGCTAATGTAAGAAAGGGGCTTATCAAGCACCTCCTGGACCAGACCAACACACCCAGAACACTTCAGGGCCTGACAACGCCCCAAAACACCACTTACTTCTGCTTCACAAACTCGTCTGTGATGAGTTTCCTCACTTCCCCAAAGAGCGAGTGCCTCACCCTGACAATGGGAAAAATAACCCATGAACAGAAATCAGAACTTCCCAGATGAGGACAGAGGCATTTCACAACATGGAAGACACCTCTCTAGCACATGTGGCCATCTTCATGAAACCAAAAAAAACAGTAAACACATACATGATCACTAGCAGTAGGCAGTTGAGGCCAAATGGTTCTTTGCCAGGGATACCCTGAAGGTCTATCTTATATCTCATCTTAGAACAGACAGAGGACATAGAGGAGAGAGGGAGCAGGGAGTTAAGGACTAGTTTCCCCATTCACCCATATCAGAGACATGGACCATCTACCCAGCCCGATACCCCCGCCCGCTCCACCAGACCACCAGGCTGATGCGATCCTGGGACCATCCTCTCTTGCCAAAGGACAACACGGACAGCAAGTGCTGAGAGAGCCCAATCATACCCAGGGCGCAGCCCCAACTTGCGCAGCACCTCCCAGATGACAGCTGCAAGGGGAGGCAAGAGGAGAGGGACAGAAAATGAACATGTGGAATTCTGACCATGGCCACCCATTCAGCTGCATGCTCAGCCACTCACCCTCATTGGCCTTGTTGCCATTCATAAAAATGACACTCAGAATCACCATGAGAAGACCTAGTTTGGGTGTGTCCTTGGTCCTAGGGGAATAACAGGACAGAGAGAATGTTTATGTCCGCAGCCATCTGCAAAAAACACACCAGCCAGCTCACTAGGCTAGCCTCTCCCAGATTCCTCAGGTATGGGAGAGTTCTGCCCAGTCTATGCTTCAAGCTCCACGTGACCCTGGGCAAGACACTTAGACCCCTGAGCCTCAGTCTCCTGTCCAGTGAAACGGGAAATCACATCCTCTCCTCCCCGGGCTGCTGAGAGGACAGAAGAAATCCCCCCAACAGAGTTAGACCCTGGCACTCTGCCAATGCGAGGCCCTTCTTCCTCTCACAGGCCCCTCAGCCACCAGAGAATTCACAGCCACCGGTGCTCCTGCCCTTCGAGCAGCGTGACCCACCCACACCAGGAAGGCCTCCCGTGAGAACCACTCTATCAAGACCAGCAGGAGGAGACAAGCAGTGACAGGGCTGCCTTCCTGGGAAGCTTCTGGACAGACAGACAACCTGACAGTAGGACTGCCCCACCCAGGCTTCGACACCCTTCAGTCCATCATAACCAGGCACAACTTTTGTGGGCAGGGTTCCAGCTACATGCGGGGGCTGGAACGGGCTTTCAGGCCTGTCTTTCCTGACTCTCTAAGGAAGTGTGGGACAGAAGACAGGGATGGGGTAGTGCCATGGACAAAAGCAGAAGCCTCCCTCCCACCCAGCCCTTTCCCAGCTTACGTTCCCAGTATGCCTGCGGAGGATTCCTTAGTGCTGATGAGAATATACAAGCTACTTTGCTTATCAATCTCCTTCAGATTGACTCGAAACATCTGCCAAGTAAAAGAATAACCTGTGAGATAACAAAATTCAGCCTAGGCATCAATGAGCTTCCTGAGCATCCCACAGCTCCCCTTGTACATAGGGGCTAGTGTGTGTGTGTGTGTGTGTGTGTGTGTGTGTGTGTGTGTGTGTGTGAAATCAGTGAGATAATAAATGTAAAGTACTTAGCTATGAGGCCAGCATACAGAAAACAGGCAAGAAATGTGCTATTGTTATCAATATCACCCTTGTGATTAGTTGGAATCTAGGCAAACAGAGAATGAGGAATAGAAGGAAGAGGTGAGCATCTGGAATACATTCCAGGACATGTCCAGCAGCAGACAGAAGTCAGGACTAAGTTGGTTGGCTTGAGTCCTAGCTGTGCTTTTACCACTTACTTGTGTGACTCCTGGCAAGTCTATGCACCTCCCTAGGTCACTGCCTGCCCATCTGCACAGTGATGGGGCTGAGTTAGTGAGTCTCTGTAGTCCCCCCAGAAGGGACGTATACACCTTTGTTTGATTCAAGGCTTCGCCACTGCACCCATCCTCCAGGGCTGCCCCTTCACCTTCTCCAGAGCGTAGCTTGCTCGTTCAATGATCTCTGGGAAATATTCATCATATTCCTGGATGACATCCTTCAGCATGTCTGCAGGAGGGGAGAGGTGGGAGCACCTGGGCTGAGCAGAGGCCACAAAGCTGCAGCCCTTTTGCAAGCCCTGTGGGGTCAGTGCAGTCTGAGTCCTAAACTATGTTTAATGGGAGATGCCATTAACACAGTGTGAGGAGAGTAGGGGAGGACATATGAGGGAAATAGCCCCCAGGGGGTTGGGGAGAGGGGAGTGAGAAGAGAGCTAAGGGAGGAGGGTATGTATGACTCTACCTGAGCGCTTGATGGGGATCTTTGTCTGGTCCTTAACCAACAGGTATTTCACCAACTTATTTGCCTGGGAGAAGAGGAATACATAGGGAAATCTCAATATGTTTTAGAAAACTCAGAATAATGCCAAAGGGGGCAGGTGAAGAAAAGACTGGGCAGCATAGGAGTCTTACCCTTTCTTGCAAAATGGCCACATCTCGGGGTGGCGGAGGCCTCTGGCCCCATGGATTCCACCTGTAATTACGGCCACCTCTCTCATGCCCAATCAGATGCTTGAACTGCATCATCAGAAAGAAGGAAGGTCCAGAGTCACCAGGTGAAAGAGATGGCTCTGTTTCCTTACCCTACCTCCTCCTGAAAGTCCCTTAAACCCTCCCTGTAGTGGGTCCTGACCTTACTTTTGACCACCCTGAGTCCTAGACTTGTCTTTTACTGTCTTCCAGGCAGGAGTTTCATTTCCCAGCTAGGAAAGGAGCAACCCAAAGGCAGGGCCTGGGGTTCCTCTTCCTTTGGCCACCACTAACTCTGCTAGCTGTACCCCTTGGACAAGTCTCTTCATCTTTCTGGGACTCAATTTTCTTATCTGTAAAACTGGGACATATGATCCCTAGCTGGTAAGAATTTCTTTCAAAACATGAAAACTACCTTTGTGAATGTATCCAACACAAAGCCTGGTGCATGGTAACTACTATGTAAATACATGTTGCATTATATCTAGGTTGTCATTAAGTATATGGATGTCTTATTTTCCCACCAATCTGTGAACTGCCAGGGAGCAGGAACTACATCACATTCTTCTCAGCATCTCTCACAGCCTATCTGAACACAGAGACTGTCTCAAGGTAAAAAGGCTCAGTAAAATTTTATAGAATAAATGAACAAACTAGGAGGATAGGAATGGAAACCAAGTGCAAATTTAAGGATCGTGATGTCAGAGATCTCACCTTTCGGTTCCTCTTGCCCCGGGTCCTGGTTGTGGGCTCCAGACTCAACTGAGCCAGGTAGTCATCTGCCAGGGCCTGGACAGCAGCAGCAACCTGAGTCTCAAGGGTACTTAAGTTGGTCTGAGAGCTGGCCATCTTGGCCTGAGCTCCTTGGTCAACAATTTGAATCTGAGTTTTAGCTACCCTGGCCTTAGTGGAAGTCTTCTGAGCCCTGGACCCTCTCTTGACCTGAAGAGCGGCAGCTAGAGCTTGGTTTGTGACCATTTGAACGGCAGGTGGGGCCTCAGAGATCTCATAGGCAAAATGTATGCCCTTATTGGCAGCTTTCTTGCCTTTGGATTTTTTGGCCCGGATAGCCGCTGCTGAGGCCTCAATCTGCCTGATACCTCTCTCAGTGGTATCTGGGGCCCCTAGGACAGTGTCAGTATTTGTGCCTTTAACAGTTGCCCTCTTGTCTTTGGAGGCTTTCTTAGTTCAAATGGAAGCTGCCGTGGCCTGGGTATTGGTTGTCTCATTGGTAATTTGGCCTTGGGTGGTAGCTGTGTGGATGGTGTTTGAAGCCAATGAGATCTCAGTGGAATTATATATGACCTTATCGGAAGCCTTCTTAGCCTTGGAAGCTTTCTTAGGCTTGATGGAGGCTACTAAGGCCTGGGAATTTGCTGACTCACTGGCAAGTGGAGCCTGGGTAGTCTGTGGGATGACTGATAGGTAGAGGGCCTTCAAGGGTGACTTGATCTGTGTAGTGACACTCTCACTGCCAGTTGGAGATTGAGGGCCTTGGGCTGCCTTAGCA